GACACACACACAACCACACAGACACACACACACAACCACAGACACACACACAACCACACACACACACACAACCACACAATCACACACACAACCACACACAGACAACCACACAGACACCACACACACAACCCCACATACACACACACAACCACACAGACACACACACAACCACACAGACACACACACACAACCACACAGAACACACACACACAACCACACAGACACACACACAACCACAGACACACACACAACCACACAGACACACACACACAACCACACACACACACAACCACACAATCACACACACAACCACACACAGACAACCACACAGACACACACACAACCACACAGACACACACACACAACCACACAGACACACACACACAACCACACACAGACACACACACACACAACCACTCACATCCGACCCAAGGGTCAAGACGTGCCTGGCCTCTCGGAGCTGCCAGGTCAACTGTTGTTGACCCATACCAGCTCCCTCCTGAACCCTCCTCCCCCGAATATCAACAAGTTCACGCTAGAAGTTGCTATTTCATTTAGGAAAGGAATGGAACCAGTGTTAAACAGAGGTGAACGACAGTGCTTGAGTCAGTGAGAAAACTCAGCAGTGGCAGTGGTACCCAAGTTGACTCACACAGTGAGGTCCCAGGTCAGTGATAACGGCCCACCCAACAACAGCGATGTGTTAATCCGTCACGATAGGAAGGCCTGGGACCACACCTCACTCATAGAACCCGTCTGTGAGGGAACTACTACACCACGTGAGGCCCCCATAACATCATCTGTGAGGGAATTACTACACCACGAGGCCCCTCATAACACCATCTGTGAGGGAATTACTACACCACGTGAGGCCCTCACATAACATCATCTGTGAGGGAATTACTACACCACGGAGGCCCTCATAACACCATCTGTGAGGGAATATACACTACGTGAGGCCCTCATAACACCATCTGTGAGGGAATTACTACACCACGTGAGGCCCTCATAACACCATCTGTGAGGGAATTGCTACACCACGTGAGGCCCCTATAACACCATCTGTGAGGGAATTACTACACCACGAGGCCTCATAACACCATCTGTGAGGGAACTACTACACCACGTGAGGTCCCTCCTAACACCATCTGGGAGGGAGTTATACACCATGTTTGCTGTTCAACACCTATTAATCTGTGTTCACTGTGTTTCCTTCACCTTTCTAATGAAGGCTTTGTTAAACCACCAATGTATGTAATAAGTCATTTATGTCCAATGTATATTTTCAGCCTTCGGGCTGCAGAACTTTTCAATAAACCGTTATTATTATTATTATTTATTACAATCACACACAACCACACAATCACACACAACCACACACACACAACCAACAGACAACCACACAGACACACACAAACACACACACACAACAACACACACACAACCACACAGACACACACACAACCACAACCACACACACAATCACACAGACAACCACACAGACACACACAACAAACAGACACACACACAACCACACAGACACACACAACCACACAGACAACCACAAACACAAACA